TATTGCCTGTTCTCTACTTAATTACTTTTTTTACCGGGCTCTTTTGCCTGCTTTTAACTGTTAAAAAATTCCGGGCTCCTTTGCCTTATATTTTTAGCCAATTAAGCACACCGGGCTCCATTGCCTGATTTTTACCGGGCTCTTTTTCCAACGTGTCCTAAAAACTTCCTATCGCATGAAAATTTTTCATTAAAAAAATACTAATACAAGTAAATAAGTTTGAAACACTACTCACTCGTTATATTTTTCTTGAGCCTTTCAAATGCTTTATTTCTGTAAAAATAAAGTAACAGATTCTATTTATTCTCTTTTTATTGACATTGCGTTGTTTGCATCGTAACTGTCTGTTCTACTACTGTTCAAGTAGTAATAGGGAGAATGAAAGAAAAAACAACTCTCTACGCAAGCTAGTAGAGGCTGGTGAAAAGATTATTTGAACAGCATGAGCGCCGAAATTTTCAGTCGCATCTTCGAATAAGTATAGATCGAATCGTGTAAATAATAAAATTCATTTTATCCCATTTATTTAACAATCAGGGTGTGGGTGTTTATTGCTTTCTACAATCACCTCCAAACCGACACCGACACTCACACCCTAATTTCGAGTAACACATGGCCCACTGTGTGCATTATTTTACACTATTCTTTATTGCGTTTGTGGGTAAAAATACATCACTATGATGAGAAAAAAATGACTTTTTTCTTTTTCATGCATGTTTGTGGGTGTGGGTGTGGGTGTGTGGGTGAGTGTGGGTGTGGGTGTGGGTGTGGGTGTGGGTTTAGGTGTGGATGTGGGTGTGGGCGTGGGGTGTGGGTGGGTGTAGGGTGTGCGTTGCGGGTTTGGGTTTAGGTGTGGGTGTGGGAATTAAACAGGTCTTCTCATCAACATCCACACCCACACCCACACTCTCACCCACACCCCACACCCCATAAATCAAGAACACTGTAACTGATTGATGTGCATCGATGAAATAGCCTGTCACATATAACAAAACCTAACAAGTAGCTGTAAGAGTCACAAAGAAGAAAGGCATAGAAATGAAAAAATAATAATTCCTTTCTTCACAATGTTGACAGTGAAAGAACTGCAACGATTTCATGCAATAGATACATAGTGAGTCGACAATAAAAGTGAAAGTTTTGTTACAAACAATTGTATTAAAGTGAGTTTTCGACAGATTATTGATTAAGATATGATATTGAACTGTGACAATTGATATTTGATGATTATTGTTTAATGATGAAAGAAAATAAATCCATCGTAAATTCACCTGAATATAATTGTTTGCAGCAAAATATTCATTGTTAGTGTTAAATCCAACGAAGTTACAACATCTTGCCGCTGTCTATAGTTACCGAGGTAGATCTTGAACAGATCACAGCAAAGTAAAAGTTAATTTTTCTAGTATTCAAGAGAAAGAGCCACAATCATAGATTCTGGAGAAGGAAGTTACGGTATTCTCATCATTTTCAAAACCACTTACGTACGCAACGAAAAGAATTTTAGCAAGTTTTTTTATTTCCGAAACGTCAGATACTAAGGTAATTTGTGGAATTACGAACATTTCAGAGGCTGTGCAGATCATATATAGTCTGGAAGTAATGAAAATTTTGTAAAATAAACATCTCAAATTCCTGAAGCTTCCGAGGTCTCTTTTTCTAGAAACTTGAACACTGCTAGAATATGTTTAACAAAAGAATATTTTTTTTACCTAGCTGTAGGCTCTTCGTGTTCTGAGTTTAGTTGTGAATATGGATAATTTTATGTTATCACAATTTTGCATTCACATATTGGTCTGGTGTTTGCTTTCTTGAAAGATTTTCATGGATTTAACATTAAAAGTAAACATTTCAGCCATCAGTACTCAAGTTTCGAAAATAGGACATTTTGGAGACTTCAGAAATAGAACATAAAAAATTTTTTTCATTAATGAGTTACCGAAATTTACAAACTTTCCAGAATTTGCTCCTAGCATTGATACGTGATTTTAACAGTGATAGGAATTACGAAAATTTGAACAAAATTCGAAAGTTTTGTTATTGATGTCAGAAATGAAATGATCCGCAATCACATTCTTGAGATCATCATGTCACATAGTACAAGATTTCCTCGGAGGGACGAAAAGACGCGACGAAACTCATGAATACGGTGCACTGAGTTATGGATGGAGATTTCTTATTTTGAAGTTCACAATGACTAAGCGATCAAGATGTTTTGTATTGCAATTTCGTATCATTCTGCTATTCTAGGTGTGAAGATGTTCATATGATTTTCAGCCGATACATTTTCCTAAATGATGGGACTCTCGTTGAATGTAATTAACTTAGAATCTAATTTTTATTATTATCTTTGATGAACGTTTCTTATTCTCTTGCTGGTTACCATTGGAACATTTATATTTCGTATTGCTCCTCGTATTGGTTTTGATGATCCAACATCATGGTCCGACGACGGTCTTCATCTTCCCGAATCTCTTCAATGTCTACATAGAAATGCGACTAGGCTCGAATACGGTCGTTTGCATCTAGCCCGCAGTCGTGTCATTATCTGTGGATTGATACACGATCGTGAACAGCATATTCCTCGTCTGAAGCAACAAATGGAAGAAATCATGCAGATCTTTGCTGATTATGCCATTGTCATTGTAGAGACTGATTCAAAAGATAGAACCCGATACGAATTAATCCGTTGGGCTCAAGAAAAGAAAATCGCTGGTCGAATTCATATTATCGGATGTGATAATCAAGTCAATGATGATCGTCCGTGCAATCTGTCATTTGTTACCACTCGATCAACAGTTCATCGAAATACGCCACGCATCGAAAAGATGGTTCGACTGCGAAATATCTACATGCAATATATTGAAGACAATGCTCAATTAGCAAAATTTGTCTATGTCATCGTACAAGATTTTGATTTGCGGACGTATACGTACACTGATGGACTTCTATCGATCAGTTTTATTTCAGTAATGATCCAACTAGCGATGCAATTTATGCCAACAGCATCCATCATCATAGAATCTTGGGTCGTAGAAGATATTACGATCCATGTGCACACAAAGATGAACAGAATCGAAATTGGAGCGTATAGTTCAATGACCGCTGGTCAACACTTTTTCGAAAATATCCATGCAGTACCTGTCTAGTTTCTGTACAGTCTTGTTTTTCTGGTAGAACTATATATCGATATACAAGTATAAAAGGAAAACGTTATCGCACGTACCCTGACTTATACCAGCAGCCGATCTGCGAACATGTCAGACTTCATGAGACATTAAACAAAATATATTTAAACAGTGAAATGATTTTTTATATAATAAAAAATCATTTTTGGTAATCGATATGAAGCAAACTCGGATGAAATCACATTTGTAGAATCAGAATGAGAAGTAGTTTAATCCATTTCCAAAGACAAGTGTAGAACACAGAACAATCATCTGAATTAATGGAAACTCTTTCAGCAATCAAAATATGTTTGTTTTCAATTTTCGAGAAGTTTCTATTGATTGAAATCATTTCTAAGAAAAAAAAATAACCTTGCTTTTAAAATGCAGAACTGTAGCTTTCACGATAGAATGTTTAATTAATTAGTAATTGGAAGCGGAAAAAGTAAAAATTTGTTTGTACACTTTCGATGCTGTCGCTCCAAAGGCTATACAATATACGAGAGTAAAAATCCTGGTGACTCCCAAACGGGGAATATCTACACTGAAGGAGCAGTCCATATTCGGCATGGTGTTCAATGATGATCGGAAAAGAATATTGTAACATAACCAAGCCTGCTGACATGCATCTTATTAAAACCACATTGAGATACTCACATCTTAGTAGAGTTATATCCTGCTGGGTAAAATGCAGGTTTTCGACCCCAGTACGCCACCTCTACCACAGGCTTTTCTCACAAGAATATGAAATTGTGTAAAGAAATTATTATTCTTGCACTACCCACCCAGTTACAAATCAACAATAAAGTATAGTCTGAAAGAATTGGGTGTGACTATGAGTTCAGGTGGGCAAAGAAAAGACTCATACCCACATCCACATCCTTATATGATTGAAGCATTAACTAAATTTGAATGTATTTTTATCAATATTATACATTCAATTATTATGATTATTTCATAATCAGAAGTTAATATATTCTATTTAATCTTTTTTATGAATGAAAACAACACTGAATAAAGGATAAATAATGTTTTTTTTTGTAATTAAATAAGAAATGACATTTAAAACAAATAAGATACACTGACATATTATTGTTTATGAGCTCATTGAGGTCTAACAATTGGATTTTGTTGTGGTCGCTGTAGTAAAAATAACCTTCTCCATTGTATTTTCTTCCGTACGTCAGATATAAAACCAAGACATATGAAAGGATATAGAAATATGACGAAGTAACATAAAAAATCGAAGTACAGTTCAACTTTAACCCCTACACTTTCTGGTAGACCACAAAGATGAGCCAACATTATAAGATTGAGAGGAATATTGGGTATAAGATATACAACAGAACTAGAAATTAATTGAATTGCCATTTTACGTTCTTTACGCCATCGGTTACGTTGATTAATAACATGTCGTTTTTGATAATGAACACGAATAAGAATAATGACACTAAAAATACATATGATAAATGTTGGTAAAATACTATTCACAACAGAATCCCATATGCCAAGAACAAGATTATTCAAATAACATGGAGAATCATTACAAACAGGTAATGTATAATCAAATATATGCATACATGGTGGAAAGATTATCACTTTTATATAAAAAGTCAATATATAGAGAAGTAAAATGATTAGAGGTAAATAATGAAAAAGAAAACGTTTCTTTCCTTGAAAAATTAGTTGATCATGAAATATAAATAAGTAACGATGAATAGTACTCCATGCCATAATTATTGTATATCCATTATATAGACCTAAATCCATAAACCACCATAAGATGCATATGAAAGGTATTGCTGGTTGTACAATACCAATACGTAAAAAGTTAAGATAAAATTGGATATCCGCTAATTCTATTATTAGTCCAATGATAAGTAAAACAATCATAAGTTGATTTATTAAATGACATCGTAAAGTTTTATTAAATAAAAGATGAAAAAGTAAAAATAAAGAACATATGATGGATGGAATATCAAATAATAATAAAAGCCAAAATCGAATTGGACGAGGTATGGATATCTCCGATTCATGAAATACAACGTCATCATTATTATCATTACCCTCAAAGGTATCGTTGGTAATCATTCTCTGAAATGAATAGCAATGAAAATATAAATAACAATTTTGAAACTTTTCTGTTCATAATTTTGATCTTAACATGTTAATTGCTATGATCATGAAAAAAAGAAGCTTTGACGTATGTTTGAAAATGACATTCATCTTAAATTGTGCTTTTTCGATGCCTCAAATTTTCTTACTTTCCTTTTTTTATTTTTGAACTAATGAAAAAGATTTAGATGAAAGCCATCATAATTATAGCACAATTAGTTCTGGTTGGTAGCAGAAAAATAGATCACAGCAGAAAATACTAACAGATAACACACTTCATACGTCAAACCATAAATGAATCGGAAATGTATTCAATATATATTTGCATTAATCATGAACGCATGAAAATTTAAATGAATATAAATCGTGATGAAACTTCACACTATCTCAGACTTGAATAAATAATTAAACATGCATCAATGGTATTTTCAAATTTTTTTGTAGAATGTTCATGCATTCAGCGTGAAAGAAGAATTGCATGTATCAACACGTAATGAGAATGTTTAGATGAAAAAGAAATGATAATAAGGGAACTTAATATGCGTTAAGCACATAGAAGGAGCATCTTAGGGCATTCCAAAAATAGAAACAAAATAGAGTGCAAATATTCGCTGGGTGAATTGACAACAATCATATGAATCCAGTTATTTTGTCTTAGGAATCATCGATGAAAAGTCGTCTACATAAAAAGCGCGTTTTTTAACCCCCTCTCTCCCTCCCCAGATTTTCGCAGTTTCATCGATTCTCTTCCTAGCCGTTCAGTAAAGCTCGTCAGTTCCGATAAAGATGCGAAATATTGTTTTTTCGGTCTTTGTAATCAATGGTTAGAGTAATCTTCTCTTTCTCAGACGACTAGAGCCTCACAGATGAAAAATTGTCGAATCTGGACCGGGATCCAATGAATAGGAAAATTTCAGACCTACAATCTACTAAGAGCTGAACCAACGCGACGCACTCCAATCGCCAACATAGAAGAAAGACTTTTAGAAAAAGTCTGCTTGTTCAAATGTACTCCTTCTTTTTTTTTCTTTCTGTTTTTTTATTAAGCAATCGAGCTCTATGATTATGTCGGTTCTAAAGGAACACTTTAGCTGCACTATACTTTATGATAAGTAAAAATAAAGACATGATTAAAAAGAAAAATATGATGAAAGAATAAGACGAAATGAAGTAGAAAAGGAAAAGAAAAACGAGAACCAAGCTGAGTACCATTCTCTCCTTCATCCTTTTTTCCTTGTCTTTCTGCACGTACTTTAGTCTTTATCACTGGTATTCTGCTTTACATTGTTTGTATTCTCTCTATTTTTGTTTTTTTTTTTATTACTATCTCTTCCCTCCTTTCTTCTCTCTCTCTCCTTCTCTCTAGTTCCTTTCTTTTTTTGTCAGCGTGACCTATAATCACTGGAAACGAGATTTCTTATTAAAAAAGTTTCCGAAAACATAGCAAAAGATAGTAGTTATTCTCCCTTGTGTGCTACAATTGAGTCAGCAGAACCTTGCATTGTCATTTAGTGGAACACTTCACCTAATACGTCTATGTGGGATACAAATCTTTTGGATCTATGCAGACAGCAAACACGTTGTGTACCCATCTGCCAAGCTGATCTGTGAGAGTTTAATTCTTATTGTTCCAATAACAGGGATCCATTCCTTGACTTTGATAGTGCGTTTGCATATTGTTTCCAATATTCGAAGCAGAGATCATCCAACGATTTTTCATTATAAATAGACGAGAAGACAAAGTCATCCCAGCATTGGCAGCAAGATATACGTTTTAACAGCGTAAAATATAGATGATTAAGGCCCGTGCGCTGCCTCTCAGTGAATAAGGGATAAATTCCGAACAACCACGTAAAGTAAGGTAGTACAAAGGCAGAAAACAGAATTCTTCGAAGTTGACTTGATGATGTACCATTAATTCTGAACGAATTTACTAATGCGGTTTTCTGACGTACCTTTACTCGAGTTTTACGGATGACATTTTCCCACTCAAGCCTAGTTGTTAACCAGTATCCTAAATATTTAAACGAGGAAGTCCATTCGATCGCATTATCTCCACATCTAACTTGTGGCATTGGGTTCGGATAACAAACAGCACGCTCCGAGAACATAATTTGTGTTTTAGAGTAACTAATAGGTTGTACCGCTAATATCGAGTAGAATTCCAGTCGCTCGAAGAACTTTTGTAGTCTTCGTTCCAGATCAACACATTGTTCTGTAAATTTTAATCCGATTTGTCCTGCCAATACAGCTGCAAGATCATCAGCAAAGAAGAAGGGCATTGCCCCGGGAATAAAATCCGTCATATCACTATGATAAGTAATGGATAACGTTGGTGTTAAATTAGAACCTTGCGGACCACCTCTGTTAATATTGATCCATCTCGATCTTTTACCTTGTATCTCGATTGTCGATTGACGATCATTTAACCATGCTTGAATCCATTTGACATACATACTTGGAATTCCCATTCAAATCAACTTCCCCAGACATCCTTCAAACCAAAGTTGATCAAATGCAGATTTAAAATCAACGAAGACTGTCGCAACCGGCGAACTATTTGACATGTAAGATGACATTTGTTCAATGAGCAGTAGCACACGTGTTTGAAGTGTATGCCCAGCTCGAAAACCAGATTGATTATCAGGAAGAATGCCTCGATCCTTCAATACTTGTAGAAAACGATTGAGAAACAGTCTTTCTTGAGTTTTTAAAAAAGAGTCAAGCAACGAGATAGGTCTTGTTTGATCTGGAGCGCATATAGCATTTTTCTTAGCCAGTAGTACCATTCTTACTTCTTTAAATTTCTTCAATATGTAGCCATTAGTGAAAGAATCATTGTACAACTTAACAAATAAGTGCCAATAATTTTTAGGGATTTTATCTAGCAGAAATGGTGAGAGTCTATGTATATCTAGCGATTGTTTCTTCTTTCTTGTACGTAGAACATTTAAAACTTCTGGATAAGTGACTAGTGGTATAAGTTTGGACACGTTTACGCATTGTATAGTAGGGGCATCAACATATGGATGCGGACGAACGATTACCGGTGCTTCAAATAGTGTTTCATAATAATTTGCCGCTGTATCTACCATCGCTTGCGGGTCCTTTATTATTTCACCGTTCAGAAGTTAGAAACCTCTTAATGATGATGAAGCAGTTCGAAAATGTCTTTTGGTTTTACACCAGAATACTGTCGAGCACTCACCCGAAACATGTCTTTCCTTTAACTGTTACGTGAGATGAAACTGCTGATAACGTTTTAATTCGAAGCGAGCGATGTTCCCCTAAGACGACGAGCTTCCTGTCGTAGAAAGATATTACCCTTTCAGCAGCCATCCTATTCCGCAAAGTTACACATTCCTGCATCGCATAAGACCATCAAACTCATCATCATTCAATTCAGAAATTCCTGACATCCAATTCCTACACATGCCATCGAATTTTACGCAATTCCTCCCAATTCCTGCATAGGCTAATGCATTCATGTTCAGCTGCGCATTGTTATAGAAATAAAGAAGCAATTCCGCTTTAGAATTCCAGAATTGCATGGATATCCAATGACCGCGAATATCTACCAATTCCTGCATAGGTTGATATATCCATGTTCAACTAAAACTTGCTACGAAAATACAGATGAAATTCCGGTTCAGAATGCCGGAATTGCATAGCTATGGACTGACCAGGAATTCCTGTATTTTCCTAGTGATTCCGGAATTACAAATATCTCATGGATGGCTAAGTGATCATTTATCGAGCTTGAAGAAATGCAAAGAGGAATTCCGGAATTCCTGCACATCCGGAATCACTGGGAAATGCAGGAATTGCTGGTCATTCCTGCATATTCCGGAAATACAAATATATCACCGATGGCTAAATGATCATTTATCGAGCTTGAAGAAATGCAAAGGGGAATTCTGGAATTCGTGCACATCCGGAATCACTGGGAGATGCAGGAATTCCTGGTCATTCCTGCATAATCCAAAATTACCAAAACATCATCGATGGCTAAATGATCATTTATCGAGCATGAATACATGCAAAGCCGAATTCCGGAATTTCTGCACATTCGGAATCACTAGGAATTCCTGCATTTTCTAGTGATTCCGGATGTGCAGAAATTCCAGAATTTCGCTTTGTATTTCTTCAAGCTCGATAAATGATCACTTAGCCATCCATGAGATATTTGTAATTCCGGAATATGCAGGAATGACCAGGAATTCCTGCATTTCCTGATGATTCCGCATGTGCAGAAATTCCGGAATTCCCCTTTGTATTTCTTCAAGCTCGATAAATGATTACTTAGCCATCCATGAGCTATCTGTAATTCCGGAATAGGCAGGAATGAACAGGAATTCCTGCATTTCCTAGTGATTCCGGATATGCACAAATTCCGAAATTCCGGTTTGATATCGAATAGATGTTTTAAGATCATCATTTGGTTATTCAGTATATCCGCCGATTTGCGGAAGTACCCGGAATGACCCGGAATTGAATGTTCAGAGTTGGATTTGAAAGGAACTAATAATCAGGAATTCCTGGTTGTGGCATGTATTTGAGGGAAAGGGTCGTTTTGGGATATCCGGAATTGATGGTAAGGGTTTCCGGGTCGGAAGGCGATGCAGGAATGTGTAACTTTTGGGAATAGGAAGTATTCTCTTAATATCTAAGAGTTATGATAATTCCGATATGTATTATACCCCTATTAAGGTATAGTTTTTCTAAAAATTTGTTGCCAACTCATAACTCCGTATCGATTTGTGTCGTCGTGTTTTCACTACATATGTATGATTTAATGTGATGCTCGAAATGTAACTTATCTTGTAAGCCTGTTCCGGAAAATCTGTTTCGAATAGAAATTAGAAACAATTGACTGGAAATACAAGTTTTTTATGTAAAAAGTTGATTTTTTTTTATTTCTTTATCATCCATAGCGATTTTAGAAGAATCACTGATTAAATAACTTTGAACAACGT